AGCCCAATCCACTAGTTACTTGCGAGCTGAAGGGAGGAAGTTATTGTAATGACCGCGATAATCGAATGGGGAATTTCCGTGATTTCTCCACATTTATTGGCCGTTAGAATCATCCTGATGCGTTTTTGAAGACATGTCTGTATGTGTGTGTACGTGTGTGACCAAAATTTTGTCCAACGATATCTTGTGAACAAATGAACCAATTCAGAAATTTATTTTTTTTTCAATCGATGCGTGGGAATGTACACTGTTGGAAAAAAATGAAATTTCATGCATAGTTGACCTCTAATTTTCTGGACAGTGACACTGAATGCGATTTAGGGAAATGAAAACTATGAAATTGCAGGTTTCACTGAAAATTCAGTAAAATTCTAGAATTTTAAGCAGCATAAAGACGAGATTCCCTTAATGTATTAGAATTTTCAATCTAATATGAATATTCGGTACCAAATTACATTGAATTTCCAGTGAAATCGGAAATTTCATAATTTTTTTCCCCCTAAATCGCGTTCACTGTTATTGCCCTAAATATTCAAGAATATATTTACCGAAATTTTCTGGTTTTCTAGTCATTTTCAGGGGAAAATGGAACTGACATTCACAGTTCTCTTTGATTTTTCCACGAAATTCTGAATTTTCAATGACGGAATTCTCTGAAATTTCAGCGGTAATTAAATTTGATAGAAAATTCGAAAAAATATACCGGAAATTTCAAACAAAAATTTTTAACAGTGTAAATTAGAACTGATTATGTTATGAAGATGATCGGCTCAGAGGTTCGTTAGTTATTCGCATAATACTCGTGAAAAAATCGAAAAAAGTGAGTTTTCTGTGAAAATTCAACAATTTTATCGAGAATGATGATGGGTTTTTATTTTTTTGTGCGGTCGATACATCTACACTGTTAGAAAATTACTCTTGAAATTTCAAGTGAAGAAGCTTGAAATTATCAACAGTGACAAAGTTAAATGAAATTTCTGTATATTTCTTCATTGACGAATCAGTTAATTTCTTGAATATTCAAGTAAATCTCGATTTTTCAGGTCCATTCGGCACTGAAAAACCTCGAAAATTTTGAAGATTCAGGCAACAACTTTTCTGAATTCTCAAACTATTGAAAATTGAATTATATGTGATGTTCAATTTTCACGATGAGTTTGGAAATTCAAGTTTTCATTGAACAATCAATGATTGTTTAACATGAAAAGCCCAGTTTTCTTGAATTTTCAAAATGAATGAGGAATTTAGTGAACGCTTTCATTTGAAATTGAATTCAACTTCACAAGATCGGAAATTCAGATGACGCTGTGACTGAAACTTCAAGAAATTCCCGACAGTATACATGTAATTGAATTTCGATTGGATTCTGAGTAAAATCGTCTTAGCCATTTTCTTCTTATCCATATGGAAATTTCAAAATTTGCGTTTTTCCTTTCTGATAAATAGGAAAATGGGAATCGGTCGGGCAGTTATTGGTTCGACTCGTAATGGGCCATACGCACTCCAACCCACCCGCAATGAGACGAGGGACCAACAACCCAGTCGAATTTTTCTCATTGAAATAATAAAGATTAGTAGCAATTCCATCGGATTTTTGTACAAGGCTGCACTGTTAAAAATTTCTTGAAATTTCAGTCACAATGTCATCTGAATTTCCAATGTTGTGAGTTTGAATTCAATTTCAATTGAAAATGTTCACTCAATTTCTTATTCATCTTGAAAATTCAAGAAAATTTGATTTTTCATATTAAAAAACCATTGAATTTCCAATAGATTGAAAATTCAGAGAAGTTATAGATTGCCTGAATTGTCAGCATTATCAAGGTTTTTCAGTGCCGTATGGATCTGAAAATCGAGAATTACTTGAATATTCAAGAAATTAACTGATTTGTCAATGAAGATTCTACAGAAATTTCATGTAACTTTATCGTTGTTAAAAATTTCAAGTGTTTTTACTTGAAATTTCAAGTGTAATTTTCTAACAGTGTGTGTGAAATTCAGGCGTAGAGGGAAAAATCCAAATAAAGAAAGAGAAAGTGTAAAGGGGATGAGACTCGTGGGAGGGTAAAAGTAGCGGCTTTTCTCGCTCTCCTCGAGGGATTGCGGGCAAACGCTTGGGCACCCGCGGGGGACCTATCCGGATCTCTACGGATTTACTTTCTGGCCACGTAGACTTTTCGCATTCCGTGTATAAAACCATCGGGCGTTCATCTCTGTCATCCCACTACATCCGATTTGCACATCGGTACACGCACAATTTATTTTAATGAAGAAATCCCCCTCTAGTCTTTTTGCCGTTTCAATGAACAGACCATACAGCCGATTGAGCATGATTTTTTTAATACTCCGGAGGCACCCGCCAGTGACTAGAAACAACATGGGCAAAACAAAAAGAGTAGTAACAATCGACGCGTCGAGGAATGGGAAAAGCTGTGACATGCAAGAGGAAAAAAGCGTGGAAAAAGAAAGGGGTGTGAGGGAGGCAAGTGAAAAGAATTGCGAAATAGCTTGTGGGAAGGTTGAAACAGCTGCTGCCACTGGTGGTTGGCTACGAAATTGTGTGCGTGAGATGGAACAAAGAGCGTCACTTTGTGAGAAAAATGCGCCCATTTAGGGGCGGGGGAGCAAGGGGTGCAAGCAATGTGAAATTTCTCCACAAAAAGCTAAAGAACATGTGCCCATTATTCTGTTCAGATAATGTTCCACCGACAATTCTGTTCGGTCTACCCAGGGGATCAGCGGCTATTGAGCCCTCGGGCGCCCTGGCTGTCTTCCCAGGAAGTATACTACACCTAGAGTGTTTATTTGCCCGACGCATGGGCAATCCAGAGTGGACATGGAACTCCACATTTCGTCAATATCTCACGGGTATGTATCCCATTGAGTCGTATGTAAATAATCCTCACAGCAAATTGAATGAACTACTGGACTGGTGGATGAGTTGAACAATCGTCGAGTTCTTTTTAGGGAGAAATATTTACATTTGAAATTGCATTCTTGGTTCTTAGTGAGCGGGAGACCTTTGAATATTTCCGATAAAAGAGAGTGGGGGGAGGAAAAATAGACTGAAAATGTAAATAAAACTGAAGAACTTGTTTTACTGCAATCCGCCCGGTTTCTCATGCTGCATTGTACACAACCGAGTTGCCATTGTTCAGTTTGAACGGTTGTGTAGGCAGGAGGACCCTCACCACAATTCTTTGACCCCCTCCCACTGCCTCCTCAAACCCTTCTCCACAGCGATCCGGCAATTAGTGGAGAGAGAAATGAAGGGAAAGGGAGAATCACGGAAAACACACGTGATGTCCCTCCACCAGGGGAAACGAGAGTTATTTATCGGTTGAACGTCGGTACAGAAAATGGGGGGACGAGAACTGGCCGTTGGGTTAATGAAACATTGACGCGTCGCTGGACTCTCCGCACTATCTCGAAAGCGGGGGTATTAATCCACCACGATAGCCATCATTTCCAGGGTGCATGCGCACCGAAAGCACTCTGCTCTATCATCATCGCATATCAACGTCGTCATTACGCTGCCGATCATAAGCCCCTGCTCTTTCACATGGCACTCAATGATTTTACCCTCACATTTGACGTTCCATCCCTATGGAAAAATTAATGCCTTTTCCGATATTTTACTTATAGGCTGGGCTATTGCACCGTCCGAGAAAGATTGGAAGTACAGGCTGTCGATATATTACGTGAAGAATCAAGATTCTGGGGTTTATACCTGCTCTACGCCCAAAGGCCTAACTAATTCCATAAAAATCCACGTCGTAGGCCAGTTTAGCCCTGATGTCGATATTAGGGTAAACCGCCCAGTAGATGGACGTTTGTTTTTTAGGAATTGAAAAAAAAAATTAATCGAAAAAAAATCGTTACTCGAGAGGTTAAGAATCACAACAGTTAGTGAAAATTCAAAGCAACAATTCACATTTCAGTACTTTTTTGCGTAATTTGCCATCCAAAAGTAGCTTGTCCATCTACTGGGTAGCTTACCCTACACGGAGAGAAAAATTCAATAAAAATTACGGGAAAAAATAAATTTGATACAACTTTGATACTTTGATACAACTGGAATTGTAGGATACGTCCATGCACGCACGAACAATTTAATAGAAAAACCTATCGAATTCGTTAGAAAATTCTATTAAACTTTCTATTAGTTTTTGGCTGATTCTATTGACATGTTCAATAGAAAAAGTCAGAATTCGATTTTTGTATATAACTTATTCTTTTCATATATTTTCTATAGAATTTGCTCGACTGATATTTTCTAAGTTTTTTTCATTCTATTTTTCTTTTCTTCTCATCAAGAAAATCCAATGAAAAGACTTAGAAAATTTGAGCCGAGGAAATTCTATAGCAAATATCTCAATAATACGTTATACAGAAAAATTGAATTCCATTGACTTTTTCTACTAGAACAGCTAATAATAATAAAAGAAAAACTAATAGAACAGTTCAATAGAAATTCAATAGAATTTTCTAACGAATTTGATAGGTTTTTCGATTAAATTGACCACCGTGTGGTCTTTTCTTCTGTCTTGAATTTTCTAGAAACCCCTTGAATTCACTTTTCTAGAAACTCCCTGAATTTCCTCGAAATGTCTAGAATTTTCTAGAATTCCGATCGATGGCGCTGCACATAAGGACCGTTTCTCAAAATGACCCCCATATTGAAACCATAGACGTATCCCCGTAAAAAAAACGTAAAAATTACGGTTCGAAACGTAATCCATGAGCGAAGTAAAATTCAATAAAAAGTGTGAGTCGGAACTGAAATTGTACGAATCGCCACGTAAATTCTACNGTTAATTGGGGAGGGATCCGTTATTTGTACGGAGAATGGCACGTGGTCCCATGAACCTCCATTGTGTGACTTTTTTCGAGTGAACCTTTTTGGTGACTAAAGATGTTGGGAGGATATCGGCTGACGGGGGAATTTGAATTTCATGAGCTTCACTGTTAAAAAAGTTTGTAAAATTATTATACTTTTGCTGCATCAAAGTANCATTCCTATAAAAATTGCCGGAAAACCATTCCCCACTGCGGATTACGCGAATTGTTCCGTAACTTTGACTGAATATTTCTCTCCGTGTACTGACACGAAAAGATTTTTCTGATGAAAAATCCTTGTTGCTCGTTNATTTTTAACCAACAAATAATAGAATTTCAGTCAATTTTTGAAATCTCAAACAATAGACTTTGGCTAGGCGTAAACGAAATCATAAATTATACTAAATAGTTGGGAGAAACGTTAAAATAAAACGTAGAAATAAAATTTTGGATAATAGTCCTCTTTTTTCTTATAGCTTTCACGTGAGGAAAATTCCCCATATTTTGCTACCCGGTTACGGCATCTCCAGACAGAGTCCTGGTGGTTACCACATGTGCGCGTAACGAGACCGCGTCATCCTCCGGTCCGCTTTCCTTTTTTTTGTACATAGACTTTTCCGTATGCCTTTTCTTGGCCAATTGCAGTCTGGGGAAAATACTTTCCAACCAATACAATTTTAGAAATTCCTTCCAACCCTGAATTGCAAGGCCCATATACCACCTCATGAAAATCTTAAACTTTAGTCTTCTCCGAACAGTTCACAGATTCGTCTCGTAAACTTGGTGATAAAATTTTCTTATAAATGAAAAAGATCTTTAAATTCATTAAGAGAACGTTTTTCTTTCAATCTCGAAAATTTCAACGAAAATGCTTTTGAAACCCCAATTTTATGAAACTGCCGATCTTTTCTTCTAATACGTTATTACCACAGTGAACAGTTCATTATTATAGAGTGACTTATTATGGATTTTTGTGAGTGATATTATTGGGAAGCTGAGAATTATACTGGACGCTGTAGCGGAACAACGCAGGTAAATAAAAATTTCCTCCATCATTCGGGTAAAAAAGATAACAATGAGTTCTGAAGTA